GCTCAACCATACGAAACAGCGCTGATATGATGGACGACTTTCCGGCGCCCGTCCGCCCGACTATTCCTACCTTCTCTCCACTCTTTATAACACAACTCAAGTTCTTGAGCACCGGTTTGTCTGATCCCTCGTAACACAAACTCATATCCTTGAACTCTATCTGTCCCTTCTGTGGCCAATCGGGAGAGGGTTTATGGCTATCCTGTGCTGTGAGGGCCGCCTCTTGTGGTAGTTTTGAGTACTCAATGATGCGCTCGACTGAAGTCATTTCATTCTCCAACTCTGCCGACTGCCTTACGCCCCAATAAGCCATTCCCGGCAACATAAGAGCTAATAAAAAATTAATTAATAAATATAAAAACATTATAATAATTATTACAATTGGTATTACCTGAAGACAGGGCCAGTCCAGCACTTCCACCACCAATACCCTCATAAAACACCATCAATACTATCGACACAATCACTAAATACAATACACTAAACCAGTCCATAACAATGGCTAACATACGGGTTGTGCATAAATACATAAACCACATGGCCGTATGATCATCCTGGTAAATTGTGTATTGCTTCTCAAACTCTGTCTGAGCTCCGTAGGCCCGAACACTAGCTAACCCGTTCAGTGTTGTGCTTACATGTGTGTAAACTGGACTTCTAGCTGTTTAAATGTACAAATAATTTATGTAGTATTTTATATTTTATTAGATTTTACCTTACTATAAACTTACCAATACCCTCATGTCTACGTATATCTCTCGCCGCTTTAATGTACACCACTCTCACCAATAGAGCAACTATTAACAAAAACAGTGCCGCTGTTGTTAGGTAAGGATTGACTATCGCCACCACAACAACAATACCTATTATTTCAGTTAACGCCTGTGAATGTAGAATATTATAAGTATTTATTAATAAACATTTAACTATGTTTTCATATAATCACCATGTTCAGCTCATATCCAACTGAGGGCAGTCTTTCGTCTACAGTTCCCATGTCTTTAGTAAAACGGTTTAATATACGACCTAGATTAATCAATAGTTTTTACAACTATCTAATATGTTTTATGTGTTTTCAGAAAGAGCTTAACTTTGTCATTAGGTTTAATTATAACTATGACATCGATTTCAACCATTGAATCAATCATTTGAAAAATTTGACGTTAGCTGTGACTAAAGCTAATGAAAAAGTTAAGCTCTTTACGAAAAATTCTAACTCATATATAATTTAGCCATGATTATACACATCACTATAAAAAATGTTTATTTAAATTACCGACGGGGTTGTTGTCAAAGAATGATATGGGAGTCCGTAATAGAGTATAGAATATACTGTTGTGGAGATTAACGGACGCCCGCATACACATCATGAACCATGTGATCACTCGGATTAATACTGTCACAAATAGGGCTGCAATTAGTGTCGAATATATTATGGCATCCCTATTCTGAGCACCATAATCAATTTGTTGGTATGTCTTTTCCTGGAATTTTTCAGTCCTGTATTCCATTAGAATTAATTAATACTTAAATAAACAAGTTTATATAATTTTAATATTAATCAAAAATAATTATTCAATAAAATTACCATCTTGATAGAAATAATTGGGAGGCACTTAATATAACCTGCGATACAATCGTTGACATGAAAGTAAGACTAAATAGTAGTGGTCCGGCGCCGGCCTTTATGTACTCCCAATACACCCGACCCTCAATCGATCCGATCTCTCGCTTTTCGTCGCATATTTTTGGTTCAATCATTGGTTTCTTGTTTTTGAACTCGTCGTCCGACCCTTCGCTATAGTCCACAGTATCCGCAGATATTGTCCGCACCATTAGATCCCTGTTCTGTGCGATTGCCTTATCGTCCGCTTCCTTCTCCTGATCGCTGAGAATAGACATGAAGTCTAAGCCCCGGGACTGGAGCTCATCATAGGATCCCAATCCCAGACACTTTCCCTCGTCGTTCAAAACCAATATTTGTGTCGCTTTTCGTATGAATTGGATTTGATGTGTGACTAGAATACGGATTTTGTCGCACAAGTAGTCGACTATACATCTGGTGTTNATAATTATAACAATCATTGCATTACTTATCAAATATATGTTCGGCAACACTAGTGTCGACAGCACTCAACGGGTCGTCCATTAATACGATGTCTGAATTCCGATACAGAGCTCTATATCAATACAAATCGTAGCAATTAATCATATTAAAACAAAATTAAGCAAATATTTTAAATGCATATGATTAATGTAAATATTAGTTATTAAAATATAACATTACATTTATTAAATAAAATTTGATGTAATAAATAAATTAATTTAGAAAAATGCATAAATAAAAAATAATTGCAGATTGTAATGTTTTAAACTTAGAAGGAAATACAGTGAACATCACCTAGCTGATCCAGTCGTGGTTGATATGGTCATGTCCAGTATTGTATGGAGATTCATAAAAAATTGTCAAAACGTGCGAATGGCCAGAATCACCGAAGTTATGACCAAATTTCTAACCACTTGCATAGAGCTGTATGCACTGAATATTGGCTTTTCACATGAGTAATGCCATTCACCAAAACTATAATGCTATAAGGCGTATGCAAGTATCTAGAAATATGACCATAACTTCGGTGATTCTGGCCATTCGCACATTTTGACAATTTTTTATGAATCACCATACAATACTGGACATGACCATATCAACCACGACTGGATCAGCTAGGTGATGTTCACTGTATTTCCTTCTTAGAATTTTAAAATGTAAATTTGATTTAAATAAATGTTATTTTGGGACAACTGTGAATCGGATATAATCTTATAATAAACAACTCTCAACGGGTCGTCAATTAATACGATGTCTGAGTTTTTGTACAGAGCTTTACATAACAATTTTAAAATACAGCAATTCTGAAAATATATTAAAATTTTATAAGTTTAGCCTAAAATTTTGTTGATATTTCTACTCGGAGAAATACATGACATGGCTAATTTTTAGTTTTATAAATGTATTTTTAAAAGAATATTTTATTTATACTGTTATAACTTATAACAATGAAGTAATCAAAACTGTATAATTATATATAATATGTTTTAATTTATGTAAGATTTGAATAACAAAATATGCTAAAAAATAATTAAATTAGATACTTGTCAAATTTTTTGAGGCATTTTACTTATTCTCATTTATAATTCAATTCCGTTCATCATAATTCAAACTGTATTCTTACGATCGTTAGTATTTAAAATATAAATTTGATTAAGCATGGTAGAATTTTGGGATATTGTCTACTCAAACTTAATTTGATTATCTATAAGCACCTACAAGTTAAATTATATTTCTAATAATTTGTGTTAATTCATCTCATGATAAATGCAAGAGAGATATTTTTTGTAAATTATGTGTATTATTCAATTTTTTTTAAACTTCAAAACTTCAATTTTATACTAAAGTGGGCAAAGAATATGGATTGTTTTGGTGATCAATTTGAAATGGGTTAAATTAAATGCAAGAACAATTATTTTTATATTTTTCATTTAAAATAAAAACTTATTTTAAAACTTTAAATAAAGATAAAGCAAACAATACATAATATGTAATAGGTTTAAATGCAATACACAAACCTGGCTAACGTGATGCGGGCCTTCTGTCCCCCCGATAGCTGTACTCCTCTCTCACCGACTAATGTCTTGTCTCCGAACGGGAAGATCTCAAAGTCTCGCTCCAAAGCGCACACCTCTACCACTCGTTTATATTGGTATTTGTTATATTCGGTACCAAATAGTATATTATTTCGGACACTAGTATTGAAACTCCAGGACTCCTGACAGGAATAGCTTATCGATCCGATAGTTTCTATACTCCCCGACAGAAGCGGCAGCTCTTTTAGGATTGTCATCAATAATGAACTCTAATAATTATTTTAACGTTACGTTAATATTCAATTATAGCATTGTATGCAAACCTTTCCGGCGCCCACCGGTCCGATAACAGCCAAGAGATCCCCCGGTTTTAAATTAAATGATATATTTTGAAGGGTTGGAGTAGTAGCCCCATGGGTGATGGGGCTACTACTGGTTGGAAATGGACTTTCCTGTAATATAAATATTAAATTAATGTTATTTTAAATTATCACAATGTAATAATTTAATAAATATTTTCATACATCACTCCATTTAGCAGTTATGTTATTAAAGAAAAGTTTAGGCAATTGTTTACTATTTGTTGAATTTTTTGGTAAAACATTTAAATTAACATTTCTTTCTTCTAATTCTAGAAATGTCTGAAAATAAATAAATGCTATTTAAATAATTGAATACAAAAACTATAACATATGTCAACACTACTTGTATGCGTCGACAGGAGACGAGTAGTTCAGCGCTGTTTTGTATAGCGTTTGGGAATTTGTCGGTCGCTGTTATCCGTATTGAACTGAACAAAGACATCGACACAAACACCGCTTTGGCTGTCAATACATTACCCGTCAGTACGTATGTTATGAATACAGCGAATAGTATTATATGGGAGGCCGCGGAAAATATGGACAAATTAATAGCCTGAAGATAAAATCCTACCCGAATACGACCCACCTCACTCCTATCGATATAAAACAAAACATTTTATCATGTTAGATCTTCTCAGATATAGCACTGTAATTATAGTAATCAATAAAATTAAATGTATTAACCGTATTATATTAACATATTAATCCCTAATTGTATAATTTTTAAGTGAATGGTAGTTTCTCATATAATGTAACATAATCAAAAATTAATAGCAAAACAGTCCAACTAGATTTTATATTGTATTCTAAATAAAATATATATAATTTTTCCATATGTTTGTTGCAGTTTTTAAAGTTGTTTTAAAATTTGTTTAAAAAACAAATACATACTTCCGGGCGGTGGCCACGAGTCGGGCGAATGACTGTTCCCAGGCATACATTTTAATGACTCGCATTCCAGTGATTATTTCGTTCATTAATTTTAGACGACTGTCCGTTAACTGTGCCGTTGCTAATCTGTACGTCAATCATATAAGTTAACTATTATTAAAATTTTTGAAATAGTATCTTTGTAAAATTTAATTTGTAAAACTATGAATTTATATCTATAACTATACCTTATTTTAGAGAAAAGTTTGCCCATAAATGCCTGAAACGGTATTAATAGCGCCAATAGTCCGACGCCAACGAAACAATAGTAACTCAAATATCCATACATTATATATATGGCAATCGCGGTCTGTATCGGCGCAATAATTACATAACTTACACTGAAATTAAACTATTTGACCAAGAATTAATTATAACATTTACTATTTCAGTGATACCGTAAATCCTACGATTATGTACAGTACATACAGTATGTATGTACAGTACTGTATGTACTGTATAAACCGAAATATACCTGATCAAAACGGCTCATATCGTTGGACATTAGATTTACAATTTGGCCGACAGTTGTTTTCGCCATCGATGCCCGGCTCAGTCTTAGAGACTAATTAATTGCACATTATTTATCAATCATGGATAAAATACTTATTTAACAAATAATTTACCTTTTTATACATTAAAGTACAACAAGAGCTCCTCATTCTCATAGCCAATCGCATCATCATATGTACGGTCGGGTGATGTATGGCCGTAGATAGGGCTGAGCACAGGCACACACCACCCGCGGCCAGACATGCATTCAAATACGTGACATTCCCGGTCTGACTAAAAAAGTCAATCACAAACCCCAACAATAATGGTTGACCGATACGTAACACACATTCCTACAAATATAATTCAATAATGTAAATTATAGTGATATAATTGTTTATAAACAACCTACCTCAATTGTGTACATAACTACTGATATCCAGTAATAGTTAGCGTACGTCCGATACAATGCTTTCCAAAATGTTGGACACTTTTTCTGGCGCTCGAGAATCCAATTGCTGTGAATTCAATTGCATTACACATACATTTGCCGTCACTTTTACCAAACCCTATACTCTCGTACATACCTTTCCAGTTGTTGGACGATATGGTGTGACTCGTCGTGTCGGGAGCACCGGTACATGTCCTCTATATTGAGACCATTTTGTCGATAACCTCTGATGAATACCGGGTACACAAATCTGCAATTGTTAAAATATTATGTATCATAATCATGTAATGTTTTAAATATGTTACACCAGTTTTTTAATTAAAAAATTGCAAATTAGCATTTTAAAAAATTAATTTTATTAAATTTAAAATAATATTACAAATATTTAAATCTCGCATGTTTATTAATTTAAACATCAACAATTAATCATATTATAATTGGTAATATACTAGATGTGCTGTACAAGGAGAAATAATTATTAATTAATTATGCATTTAATGATTTCATTAAAATTCAATATAAAGCTTTACATACGCTAGAAATATTTTTTGAATACAATTTGCATTGTCCCATGCTGATTTATTAGTTATCTTAGACTCTTCTCGCATAATAATTGCAACTATTTTATGATAACTAGAAATTTATTTTTAAATTAATAACATGAATTTAAATAACATCAAAATCTTGACTTTAATTCAAACTAAACAAAAAAGTGAAATGTTTATTTTTGTCGAAAGTCATCAAGTTTTTATATTTCAAGAAGTGGAATTTATTGCACACGATTCAAATAAATACAACAAACAATTTTCAAACGTTATAACTTTTATCGTTAACAATAAAATATAATTATTAGTATAAAAAATTTTATTATTATAATCAAAGCGTCTAAATGAGCACAAAATGTGCATTCAATAGGAAACAATTTATACACATATAAACTTTTATCAATGTTTAGTCAAACCTACAGTTACAATAGGGGTAAGAGATTGAGAGTTTAAATAACTAACACAAAATAAAAGTGATTGTTAAAAGGCATTTATTTTATAAATAAAGTAACGATATATAGTGACTAGCATTTATAGATAAGCAGGGCACAACATATATAATGTTTAGGTACCAAAGTAAAAGTAGACGTCTTGATTATAACACATACTTTCGATAAAGATTTTCTGGAAAAAACTTGTTTTTAAAATGCGATATCTACATTTACCCATTCTATGATGTTATCATAATTAAACTCTATTGCAATTAAAAACTTGTTGTTATGTCAAACGTTTCTCAAAAGGTTTTTATTAGTTGTTAAACTTTTTGCGATTCTATTGTACTTATTGTCAATAAGTTATTGAACAAATCCATTGCATTGAATACACATGAATAGAAACCAGAATTAATAATAACTTTTAGCTTTAATATTTATTTGAATGTTAAACATTTATTTAATAAAAGTTACTATTAGGGGGATGCCCATCTGTGGGATAGCGAGGACTTTGGATTCATTGTGATAGAATGAAAGTACACTCTCTAAGAAATCTCATGATATATTTCGTATGGTCAGAAAATATCGGGTCTGGCCGCAGTGACCACTTTTATCGGGAAATTTCAAAGTTTTCAATTTTAACATATGATATATGGATTCGATGTAGAATTTAAAGTAGGTCACGAATATCTTAACAGAATTTTAATAGAATGTATAGTTTATGAAATATTAATTGATTGGGTAATTTATATACACATTGTAGAACTTTCCCACCCCGGCAGAGACATTCCACCCCGACAAAGACATTCCCACCCCTGCGGAAACATTACCATTCGGCGAAGACATTCCCACTCTCACCACAAGTTATTCACCTTCAGTATCTTACAAATCCAAGCAAACTTCATCTAAAAAAGCAGCCGGATTGGAGATCTCAGGTTCCTGTCTACCAAACCCGAGATAACACAGAACTGTTGCTACATGGCCACAGCAGCCAACAGTTCTGAGGCCATTGAGGCATGAACAGGAATAACCTGATACAGCCTTTATACCATCCTCGTCCTCTTCATTGGTCGTAGCACGATCAATGAGGATGTAGATATAATGATTAGTACGGTTATGGTGTCGCGACTGTATTCGCCCTCTGATCAACATTAAATCCTCGACTGAAAATCCATACGAAGAATATGATAGAGATTCTAGATGTTTAGAAACCTCAATTATATACTTTCCGTCGGTCTTACTATGCTCAGAATAATAAGATCGGGCTATTTTCAGTTGGAAAGATCCAAGTGTGATCGATCGGAGATCCTCTTCAGTAAAATAGGGAAACTCATCGAGTTCTGAACTCGCATCAATCGTTTCCCATTTATCTGAAGAGTATGTCCGATTCAAGTTGAGAGCAGCAAACATATTAGCGAGTTGATAGTCCTCGTTCAACCAAGCAAGCATAGCTTGAGTCAAGGCAAATCCGTCCCTCATGTCAGACTCGTAAATCGGATGAAAGACATTCAAAATTGCACAAGCAATTCTAAAGTCTTTCATCATGTGAGGGAGAGATTTGTTTGGCAACACTCGATCAAAGTCCCGATAACATAGTTTGAGATGACAATTTCTGGCCTCCACAATGTACCGGCACTTCGTCACGAATCGTGTCCTATTGGCCTGAGCCGTGGTAAGCTGTTTACCTTTATTCTACTCAGGCAAGTGAACATCTAAGCCTAACGTTTTGAAATGTTCAGCGCCATCCCTGAAACTCCGGTCAAAGAAAACAACATCGTTATCTTCCAACCCCGGTTTGATCTCATTTGATAGTTGCTCCATGATGGTCGCATCATTGACCACGGCCTCATAAGGCTCAAATGCGTCAATGATGTAACCATCGGGGGCGACAACCATAAACGGTTTTAGAAGATTCCAATGCATCTGCACACTGTAGCTCTTACGTTGATAGCGAAAGTTGGAGCTTTTTTGGTGGTTGATGTAAGTGCCATCTGCTATAATTGCAACTTTGTCTTGGCCACAATAACGCTCTCGTGCTACAGTGGTTACATGCGATTTGAGTTGTTTTCTAGTTAGATGAGAAAATCCCAAATGCTGTGTTTCCCACTCGTTCAATGCCTCTCTGGACTTCTACCGCACCAAATGGTTGTGTCCGAAATGGCCGGCAATAAGTGGCCAAATACTTGCACCAAATGGTTGTGTCCGAAATGACCAGCAATTAGTGGCCAAACACTCGCACCAAATGGTTGTGTCCAAAGGGCCGGCAATTTGTTGGTCAGAGTTATCACTGATTTGTTGGTCAAAGAGTTTCACCGATTGTTGATAACAATGAAAATGATTTTGAATGCAAAACACAACCAATTGATTGAATCAATGGCGCAAAAATAGACACAATATTTGAAATGAATTGTAATTATAAATGCATTCAATGCTCACAATAGCTATCGTATGGTTTTCCCCAAATATTTAATGCATTTATTTGTTCACAAACAACGTTACGATTTATTGGCATTTTGTCCATTAAATAAAAACTTACTCCTAACTAACTTACTATTAAACAAATTGTTATAAAAAATGTTGATCATTCTTTTTAACTACAATTCAATATGAAAATTGTAGTTTATAGGACCTCCACCCCACACCTAGAAGTGTTGTTCATTTATTTTTTGCATGGGCAAAAGTGGAACGCGTTCCATTTTCATTAATCTTGTTCAGTTTCATACATTGTGTGGGGCCTAATCGATATATAATTTATACAGTACACTGTATGAAAATTAAATGATGAATTTTAATTGAACGCCGCTAGGGGGATACCCATTACTAATTTATTTCATACACCATTTGATACTTTAATTAACTTATTTTTAAAAATTACTATATTTTGATTAACTTGTTTATAATTTAAAACTGATTTACGATTTAGTGCATTAGGTTTGTTCAATAACTACAGTGTATTGATATTCTTAGAATCACAGCATGTTATTACATTATATAAGAGGATTAATATGAATTATGTACATGTCTTTCAAGTTACAAGTATTTTTAAAATACACACGTTACATTACAATATAATTTCACAAAATGCTGTATAACAATTGCCGTAATAATAATCGTTTGTTCACTTATATAATTGCTTTGACATAACAATGTTGCATTTCCAATGCAATAGTATCTTATTTTACAGTATCTTTCAATCTTTTAAAAAATGTGTTTAGTTTTTAGTTTATATTAAATTAATACTCGTCAAATACTTTTATATCATTGTTTAGTACAATATATAACAACACATTTTTTATTTGATTAAAGTATTATTATTAACAAAATCATGGTCAATTTTTGCCAATTTATATTCAATTACGGTATATTTTGCGCAATGCAGTATTAATAATTGGTACAAACAATTATGGTTGTTTCTAAATTAATAACCCCATTTTAATTTAGAACAAGATAATGGATTTACACAAGATAAAATGATTTAGGAAAATAAAAGGATTTATCATGTTCTCTTTTGGTCAAATTAATTATAAAAATTAGTATTAATGTCAAAACATTTTTAATTGCATATCACATAAATCTATAGAATTACGGCTTTAATACAATTATTGAAACAGTTTCTATAAATTTTGTGTTAAATATATGGTAATTTATAAATAAATATTAATTTTAAATAATAGAATTGAAGGAATTATTATATACAACATTTAACCAAAAAGATTCAGCACACTGGGCATGGTCAACTTATGGTCGCCGATACCAATGGACGCGCCATCGAGTAGTCCAATGTGTGCCTCAATTGGCGAGTCCTTAGGGCCGAGAGCAACGGTCGCGCCGTCATAACCGATGTGACTCTTCATCTCCAGTCCGTGTCCTTCGAGTCCAATAGTGGCGCCCTTTTGGCCGATCTCTGCATCAATGGTGTGATGACCGGTGCGACCGATATTCACACCAACGCCGTCCTCATCCACTCGTGCTCTCACGCCGTGATTAAGGATTGTTTCAAAGCCTATTCCCATCCCGTCGTCATTTTTCGTTAAGTCTAGTTCTGCGACACCGGGCAAACCCAAGTGATGGGAACCGTCCGCAACGGCTGAACCCGTTTGAGCACCGGATCCAATGCCAGTCAACGCCTGTTTGCCGATAGCGTCGGCCACTCCGCCAATGAGTTTACCAATGATTGCGTGTCCGGAGACCACAGATAACAGACCGACCATTACTACTGCTTTAAACATTGTTTGATTGGTTTTATTTTAACTACTATTTGATATAATAATCAAAATAATTATTGAATTGAATTTTTCCTAAAAACACATCCAGTATTTATATCATATTTTATGCCTGATATGCACTTAAATGTAAATTAATCATTACGGGACAAACATGTGTAAAATGTTTAATATCTATTAATAATTAATAAAATGTGTAATCAATTGTAAATCAATTATTGTATAACATCGTAATTATTTGATTTTATTATACATTCATAAATTGTTACATTTTAAAAATACTGTCAATTTTTAATTAATTGTTCTAGGACATACATGTGTGCAGTTGTCATTTCTTATAAAATTATGTCATTATCGCTGTATTGATAATTCCGAGTTATTATAAATTGTTATTCATTTGTTAATATTTATAACAATTATAATTAATTATTTGACACCAACGTGAAAACCGGAATTAACTATTATATGCTTATTTGCTCCTAGAATGTACTAAACACTATTTTGTATATAAAATTAATTAATCAATTAATTATAAAGAATTTATGTTACTTACAATTTTATATTTTTGTAATTTGTAAATGTAAAAAGAAGCATTTTATATGATTTTGCATAAAGCATTATATTTATATTTTTAAAATTACTTGTTCTAGGGTAAACATATTGTGCCGTAGTCATTTATTAAAAAATTATGCAATTTTACATTTTATATGTTTTATGACTGTATTGGTAACTTCATTTTAAAAACAATTTTTATTAATTTGTTAACGTTGAAAACAATTTTATTGAATTATTTTTCACCAACGTGAATTAACTATTATATAGTATGCTTATTTGTGCCTAAAATATACTGAACACAATATTGTATTAATGATAATCAATTGAAGTTTTATTATAATTTTGTGAATTATGAATGTAAAAAAGCAGTATTATTTTGCATAAAGTTGTCTATTTATAGCTTTTTTATTGAGTTGAAATATTATATTAAATTAAATTATTATATCAAAATATTAAAATC